CACAAATCAGTTTTATACTCTCTCTTCAACCCAAAGTGAACTCCCATTGATGTCAAAAGTTTGCACAAAGATCACAGGCAGAATATTTTTTTTTTTAAGTAGCAAACTTTTAGTACATTATTATTAGATTAAATATCAATGGGAAAATATGCTTGCCCTTAAGCATGAATGCTATTTCTAAATTTTGTTTCTTTTCTTCCGTGTCCTCCTCCTCTTCTTTCCTTAACTTTTCATGTCTTTTCATCAATAGATCTCAAAGCACTTTAGAAAAAGGAAAGAAAGAAAAGTGAGGAAGATATTATTGTAATTACATATCCTTTTGTTCAGAGGGAAAGAGAGCATAAGGTAAAGGAAATGAAGGTAGAATAAGTGAGTATTTATATTTGATTGGACTGTAGTCATTCAAAATTTTTTCAATCCACCTGTTCCCTTGGTAAAATTAAATATAGAGAAAATCCTCTGAATTTCTCCGAAAGAGAGGTGGGTGGCCTCACTGAATAAAAATAGGAATGAGAAGGAAGGAGAGACCAGAACTTTACAGAATACCACCAGTTAAAGTAACTGCTAAAGCCATTTTGTTTTCTCTTAATTTTGGATCCTTTCCCCTGAAAAGATGGAAATATCTATAAAAAATATAACTGAAAAGTCAGATAAGCCTACCTGGCCTATTTTCTGTTACATGATTCACTTCTCAAAAAGGAGGGGAGAGTCACAATTGCAGGTAATAAAATGAAAGTTGGATCAAACATTTTCCTTGTTATACATGCAGCCAGTTTCAAAACCTATTCTTAATAAGAAATGTTAGTACAGAGTTTAAGTTTTGTATACTCAAACAGGAGAACCAGGACACTGTAGCATGTATGAAGCCATATAATCCACATGGTGACAACATTACACATTATCTTCCATAGGTACCTTTCCTCCCACCTCACATGGAAATGGACAATTCAAAGATGGAACAAACTAGGAATGTATAGAAAAAAAACAAACACCCAATATACTGTTTTAATTTGTAGTTGACAAATAAAAGATAATTTACCCTATCAGTAATATGTGCAAGTCACAAGGCAGGTTGACTTTGCTGGGTTGATCTACTTCAGCTTTTTCCTTTGCATTTCCCCAACCCAGCTCCTTATTTCTCCCTTAACTAGAGTGACAAGTCAGTCATTGTGCCCAAATTTTTGTACACTGAGCACATGCAAAGGGTCTAAATGCTCTTCAATATACAGAAAATGTTAAAGGATAAAAACTGAAGCTCATCATAACCTGGTGAATGTATAACCAGGACCATCCCTCTTTAGCATATGGGAAAGGAAGAGAGAAGTTACAGTCCTAACCATACCACCAGTCCTACTGTTTTGCCTTGAGATTTGCAGACCCTCACTATCTATCTGTTCTGGTGACTGGTCTATAAGGCTGATTAGGAGTAGATTGGTGAATAATCAGGGTTTAAAAGGTGGAAAAGGTCTTTTTGCTTTTGTTCACAACAATGTATTTACTTATTACAGGAGTCCATAATTTATACTGCACACACAGAGGTGTGTGCTCTGCATACTACAGGCTTATTATGAACCAAAATCCTCCTTACATCCCTTTATAATTTAATATCTGGATTTAATATTTTAACTCATTACTTTCTTAGATTTGAGGTTTATTTGTTTGAAGTTTTGTAAGTTTAATTAGGAGCGAAATTAATTTAGCTATAAAAAAGAGCAACTCTGTCATGAAACAGAATAATAGTATTCTCTTACTGGAGGACCTGTTAGTTGTACACGGCTGACGTCAGTCATTCTGTGTAGAGGTTTCTCAGTTTTATCCAACAGGAGAGAGAGGCATACAGCTGGTAGTAAACATTTCCTCAGTCTTAATACAGGAGATGCATAAGATGTGGTGACCCATGATACTCTGCACAGGTTTATACTAGCATGCTCAAGAAAATGGACAAGAATATTCCCGCTACATTCATAAGGGCAATTCTGAGTAAAGCAAGGAAAGAAAATAAGAGCATCCTAAGACCTGGACTAAACATTTTAGTTTTGGCAGTTTATAGCAGAAGCAAATCTCAGCTTCTGACCCAGCAACAGACTTTAGGCCTTGGGGTAAAGCTACAAAGGCAAAAGGCTGAATTTTACAACAGTTAATAAGTCAGGTCAATTCCTACAAAGGAGAATGGTATCCTATTTACAGGTGGCAATGACAAGCCATCTGGCTGCCAATTGAGAATCTGTAGCATAACACAAAGTGGAAAACACTAACTATGGATCCATTTAGGCCTGGATGACTTTTCATTTGACATTAAGGTCAACAACACTGCATATATTACTAAGCAAGTGTAGACTGAATTAAATCAGTTAGGATTTTAACACAAACCTGCCTCAAGCAAGTTTTTACACTATAAGTAAGCCTTCAAAGACCACACTGGTGGTCCAATGTTTCCATCAAGAAAGGAAGTATTTCTTTTATCTGATGCAGTTGGTACCATAATATCACACAAATAATCCAAATGCCCAATACAGTTTACCAATAAAGCTAACCTCAGCTTAATATGGAGATAAGACAGGAAACAAAAGATAAATGTTATTCATGCCAGGGCCCCTCTAGGCATGATAGGATCTGGTTCAGGTAAAGGCATGATAGGATCTGATGCATGATCCACACAATCCACATTTGCTGGATCCTACAATATCACATCCTACTGTGCATCAGAACCTATCATACCCTATTGCCGGTACAGGGAGAACCTGGAATTGCCATCCTAGGCTCTCCCTGCACTGGCAAGTAGAAAGCTCCAGCAGCTGTGAGCCTCTAGCTGATGAGGACTCACAGCTATGGCAGCACCCCAAAGGTGCCAGAACTGAGAGTCTTATACAGGCAGTCCTCTGACTTACAACACAATTGGTTCCTGAAAACCACATCTTAAGTCGAAACATCGTAACTCAGAACCGATTTTCCCATAAGAACAATGTTATAAATGGGGGATTGGTTCCTGAACCAAGGCCCAATACCCTATTTTCACCAAAAATAACCCAGAATTTTGTACTCAAGCAATTATAGATGAGTAACATAGCTACATTAATATATTTATATTGTAAATAGCAATCATGTGGATTTGGAAGGACTTCTTTGAGGTGATTTTCCTGGACTTTTTGAAGGGCTCTTGGTTGGACTTTTTGAAGGGTTCTTGGCTGGAGTCTTCTCAGGAGTCTTGGCTGCAGGTTCTTCTGGAGTCTTGGCTGCTTTCTTAAAGAAACTGTCCAAGGAAGTTTGGACAGATGTTCTCTAGGGAGATGGGTGATGCAGCAAACTTGTTCATTGGTGTGGCGTCAGATCAAGCATCATAAAGTCAAAACCGACATCAGAAAGTTGAAATGATGTCAATTTATAAACATTGTAAGTGCGAAACATTGCAAGTCGAGGACTGCCTGTAGCTGCAGGCTTTGGGTCCTGACAGTGCCTCATGGCTGTTGGGACCAAGAGTCCTGGCTCCAGCAGCTGTGTGGCACTGCTGGGACCCAAAGTCCACCAGCTGCAGGACTCTCAGTCCCTGCAGCTATTGGACACTGCTAGTACCAAGAGTCCTACACCTGTGGGGTACTGCTGGGAGGGAAAGTCCCATCAAGCTGCAGGATTCTCTATCCTGCCAGTTGTGGGGTATTGCTGAGGCTGAAAGTCCCCTCAGCTGTTTGACTCCCAGCCACAGTCGGAGACCCAGCCACCCATGCAAATTAAAGCTGGATAGAAACTGGCTATAAAAGTTATTGCACACTTTGGTTGAACTTTTTTATGGTGTGATAGTTAATTTGCAGGTGTAGCTGATCTAAGTTAATTGCTCAATTAATCCAGTAATTGTGTTATACATGTAACATATAGGGGGGGGGGCTTCTTATCACTTTTCTTTGAGAAATATCAGCCAAGGCCAAAAATTAATTACTTGTTTGACTGTCAGCAGGATACATGAGGGTTTTTTTGCTTTTTCCTCTTCTGGCTCCAGATGCTAGAACTTTTTTGTTTTCTCCTGTGCCTAACCCATTACTAACTGGAAACAGATATGATATATTTACCAATACTGATTCCATGCACACCCCCTGCCCTCCCCCCTGAGAAAATGCTCACAAAATTTGATACCATAATGTTCCTCCTCATCTCCTGTAATTTCAGAAACCATGAGAGTTTGGTGTTTTTTTGCAGCTCTGACAGCTGCTGTTAAGCACATATTCTTTTTCTGGTTTGCTTATCATGATTCCAAAATATGCTTGAATATATTAATGTTTTGTTCATAATAAAAAGTAATATGCTAAGATCACCGCTGTAAAATGTAAGTCTTCAAATAATAAGTGGTGGATAAATATAGATAAACAAACATCTTTTTGATGTTCATATGGAAGTGACATATATCCAATCTATAAAAGAAATATAATTCAACCCACTAGAATACTTGTAGTTAAGCCTATTTAAATTGCTTTTTGCATGATTATTCTAAATGTATGACTAATTTCAACTAGCAATTCTTTTTCACATTCCCTAAGAGAGCACAAAAGTTAAGTCACACTTCTAAGTTCAATATATCAAGACAGCCAAAAAAATATTTTTAGTTGATACCAAAATTCATAGCATCTACAGTATATATTAGGGATTCCTACAAATGGAGCTATTCAGGAATAGCACAGGCAAGACACTACAGATGGATCTCAACATCACTATGCTGAAGATTAACTAATAGGAGCAAATTTTAGAACTTTCATTAACTTTATCAATGTGACCCTAAGTAATTAACAGAAAATACAATAGCCTATTCTAATGATTTTTACAAGTGAATCAGCAGTCACTTTAAAATCCATTTGGAAATATTGGTCATGTTCAAAAAATGTAGGTGAACACAAAACAAAACACACTGTTATATCCAAGTACAAATTAATAAACAAGATAA